GCCCGTTTGTGTGTGTGGTGACCCGGAGTTCTATTGTCCTGGGAGGAAAACCTTTTAGGGTTAGCTAATGAGCTCCTACATTACTGTTTAAAAAACGCCCGAAACACAGGCCGGCATTTTTCTATTTTAACCCCATTAAACTGATAAGTTAATAGTTCACATGGATAATATTGAAATTAAAACCAACGTTTTACCCTTTTTAACATTTAACGCTGTCTGCCTCGACTTCAAAGGTAAAATCGACTAAAACGATATCAAAGGCAGTATTTAATTTATCTTTGAACTAAAGTAAATGTCGGTTACATATTCGTTTATGGCGGGCAGTTAACTGTATTATACCCCGAGGGTAATTCAGGGAGGAGGCGGGTTTTAAATATTTTTGCAAAGCAAGAATTGGAACAAAGTTTTACTATCGTCCTGAGCGTGTCCGTCACAGGTGTTAATATATAAAACACCTGAAAATCTATTTTGTGCGAGTCCTTCCGTCAGAAGCTTTTTCAGCCAGACCCACGAATCGCACAATACACAACAATTGAAGTAAAAGGAAATAACTCGTTAGTATATGTAGCAGAGCTAATAGGTCTGAGAACTGACGTGAAATGGCGCCAGTGTGTTCTTTGTTAGTTGTAAGTACAGTATGCTTAAAACGACTTCTCACCTTGTTTTAATCCACTTCGATTATTAATCTGGTATAATGATGTCTAAAACAATTGATTCCGATAAAAGCACGTTATCGGGTATTTAAAAGTAGTTCGGACTACAGCCATACAGCCGGAATCCAATACTCTCGGAAACTAAGCGTCAACAAATGCTGCAGCGAGAACGGTAAAGTGATCCCTTTTTAATTTGTCCCAAAAATTCCAAACATCACTCGGCATACAGAAACTAATTCTTGGTTAATAAATAGCTATAGTGCAAATTTATTTTACTAATCTGCCTTGAAATAATATTTGTTGACTGCACCACATGCAAAATTAAATATAGTGTAAACAGGCCGGTTCTGTGCCTTTAGTGTACGAAAATAAGAATTATTTTCCCCCTAGTTTGAGAACCTACTGAGTTGCACATCTAGACGCTACTCTGTCGCTGAAATGTTTTTCCTTCAGTTACTTTTTCCTTACTGCTTGTACCTTTTGGACTGGCATTTGTTGTATTACAATTTCTACCTTGAGCACCTTCTCTCAGTATGTCTAAAGATAGATATAAAGACAAGACAGTGTTTTTAGCGCTTTTTTTGTACCACAGTTTTGTTCCGGCGTCCTATCCTGTTCAGTACCCCCCGCCACGTCGTCATGCGCATGCGCCGCACAAAACGTTATAGGATGCTAAACGGTACAGACTGCTGTGCACGTTTGTCTTTGCATTTTGCGAGATGGGTTAAATAGGTGCCCGTTAGAGTGCATTTATATTGCTTTTTCGGTATATTTAATGCGTTTGCTAGGGTTTCGAGCCATGTAAAATCATTTTTTTTCTATTAAACATTTCACAATAAGTATTATCCAACTCGCATTAAATAACTTTCTAAATCGGGGATGGGGCCAGATTTGCACAGTGAAATGTAAAATAATTTCACAAGAACGAAAGCTGAAGTTATCTGCACACACGCGGGGAACACGAAAGAAAATGCACAGAAGCTATGTGCATCTTTTATGTATAAAATGTACACATGGAGGATCAGAAAAATCTGCCATCCCTGAGATAATGGCGCATTTCGGAAGGGATACAGGTTTCCAAAGGACACTGAATAGGATATGTAACTGGTCTTTTGCTATTAACGTATCTTCCATCTGTGATCATTGGTTCTATTCTAGTCAGCCATATAGTCAAACTTGCATATACTTAGCAAACTCTAGGAGCAGCCGAGGGAAGACAAAGCTCTTGGGTTTGTCTCTGAAGGCATCCCAAAACTGGGGGCCGCTGTAGGAAGGGCTAAGGGCAGGGGACAGCTGTCCAACAGCAGTGATCAGAGTCGGTTTAAAAAGTCTCCTCCTCCTCCCCCTCTGCTGGTTGGCCTTGTCAGGCTCTGTGGGCTAAACTCTTCCCTTCCTCTCTGTGTCCAGCGGCTCTGCAGGCCACCCGGGCCCTCATGATCGTCGGCATCGTCGTCTCCGTGGTCGGCCTGGGGGTGTCCACCATGGGCATGAAGTGCACCAACTGTGGGGGCGATGACAAGACGCGCAAGTCTCGGATCGCCATGACGGGGGGCATCATCCTTCTGGTCGGGGGTGAGTCCGATGCATCTGTGGACATCCTGCGTGTCCTGATCGGTGATAGCGTGGCGCTCAGAAAGTTTACAGCAATTCTTTAGTGTCCTTTAAAATTAACAAAAAAAACTTTTTCTTTTGTAGGCTTGTGCGCGATTGTGGCCTGCTCCTGGTTTGCAAACGGAATCATCAGAGCCTTCTATGACCCCTTCACTCCTGTGAACACCAAGTAGGTGGTGCTTGTGTCCCTCCAACCTTCTTGCTCGGAATCTTGCTTGCTCCTGCTTTTTTTTTTTAATTAAAAAGTACTTGGAAGTTAATTCTTCACTTAGTTTTACGAATGTGAACTTAACACACGATTAAACTCAACTTCTCATTTGTTGCCCTGCATTGGAAAATGCTTAGAACAGTGGACATTTTTGCTTGAATAGTTTTTTTTTTTTTGGCTTCAGCTTGGATTTTGTCTTTTTACAGGTATGAGTTTGGAGCTGCCATCTTCATTGCCTGGGCAGGGTCTTTCCTGGTTCTCCTTGGTGGTGGCATGCTGTCGGCTTCCTGTCCCAGAGGAAAACAGGGGAAAATGGGAAAATACCCTGTTCCTAGCTCTCGGCCACCCAGCAACACCAAGGAGTATGTGTGAGAGTCCCCTGTCCTCCTTGATCCAGTACTACACGAGGAAGGAGAGTTGCATTGCTCCACACAGTGGGGTGCAACACCAATTAGAGACTTTTTAGTGATTTTTTTTTTTAAATTTAAATATTTTTAAACCATTGTGCCCTCCTGCTGTATATTAAAGTGTGAAGATTTCCAAACTGGTACATGTGCGGCAGGTGATAAAATCTATCTGGTACTTCTGTCCCTGTTCTTTCAATTATAGAACTGAGTTGGGTTTTATTGCAAAATTAATACCTTTTCAGGTATGAGCACAGCTTTAGTCTGGTTAAAGGCGTTTATCTGCCCCCAAGAGGTTAGAAAAGGCCTTTGGATTTGTGTTAAGAGGAAAAGAGCACTTTGTGAACTGTGCAGTACTAGAGCCTTGTTATTAATCTGCTACCCTAGTGTGCTTGTGTCCTCTGAAATTGCACTGTGCTTGGAGTCCTCATTGAAAACTGGCAAGAAAGAAAAGGATAATTAGTTATTCATTTTGTAGAAGGTAGTTCTTTAAGAATACATTGTACTAAAATGTGGATTTATCATTTTAGCTTGACATCTGAAGACCCATTTTTTTCTTTGTATTGCAAAGTTGTAACTAGAAATGGATTTGTATAAAATTATAGCCTTCCCACCACTGTGCTTTTACAAATGGATCCTAAAACCTGAGTTTGAAATGTTTCTTTTCCACTCCTGGTCCTGCAGTGCTGGTGTCTCTGTGGGTTTTCTAGGTCTCTTTAAGGCAGGTGTGAGCTTTAAGCAGCTGCATCTGAAAACCAGCATCAACCCTCCAGGACTAGGATGGGAAAGCCCTGAAATGTATATTGTGCCACAAACGTTCTTTTCATTTAGTTTCTGGAGAACATTGCTGAAGTTTCATTTCCTTCCAATCCGTAATAGATATTCTCCATTATCTGAGATGTAGTGCTTTGGAACCTGCCCTCTCTTCAGAATCTACTCTATTAGATCTAGTACACCTACATCTGCCATCTTTAAAGGCAAAACCTTCAGGATTGGCAGCTATGTATTATTGCTTTCTTGAATCTTGGAAACCTGCTCATTGTGTTAGAATACACTTTATTAAACTGGAATTGAAACTTTCGGTATCCCTTTCCTGAGGGGGGGTATTCAGTCTTATTAAACGCTCCCTTTTGGGCACAAAAACGATCAGTTTTTCCCCCCACACTTAGCCTTTAAAATATGCAGTGCTGTGAAATTCCATTTGGTGTGGTCTTGAAGATTGACTTATGTGCTGTTTTTTGTGCAACACCTATTCCAAATGGAAAGGAACATTTATTCTCTGAGCACCATTAGCTATTTATACAGCAGTAGTATGTGATCTTTGCTGGGGTTTCCTGAAAAATATCTGTAGCTCTGAAATTGTTTGTATCCTGTTAAATAGGTGTTTTCTAATGGGGTCTGGATAAATTCCAGGGGGTGTTTTTCTTTTTCTAAGAAAATAACTCTTCAGTCCATTTATTTAACTTTTTTAAAGTTTATATTTTTTAGATGATGGATTGTAAAAACTTCATTGTGTAAATAAAGCCTAAAAGCCATTTCTCTTGTTCTGTGCGTCTTGTGCTGTCTTCTCAGATAGTGAAAGGCTTTGTGTTTGTGTGCAGTTGGAACCATGAAATAGTCTGCTGGCTTCTATTGTGGAGGCAAGGAGGCTTTCTACGATTTAAAAAAAAAAGACTCAGACTGGACTTAAACTGTTTTAAATGCTAAAATGTTTAAAATTGGGATATTCAAGAGAAATTGAACTATGGATATTTTCCCTTTTCTTTGTTAGAACACAAGTTGCAGTAAGAGGAGGCCATTTGGTAATTAATTGATCCAAGGATCTTGCCCAGCTTTTGAACAAAGCCTGCTTTGTCTGCTTCTTTGGCATACTGTAGCTGTTCCACACTCCCACCCCTCTTAATAGTCATTTGCTCAACGCGCTGAGCTATATTTCCTCTTAATCTTCAGATCTCCATTATAGCTGGAGGAGTGCCTCCACCAGCAGCTTTTCTCTCAGCAGCTGGGCCAGTGCCACCCTAGTCTTGATCCAGTTTCATGGCTTCTCCTCGGTATTTCCTGCCCACTTAACACAGCTGCTGGGCAGTTATCATAC